ATATCGTATAAACATAATTATAATATTATGTACATCGCAGCTGATATAATACCATAATAATAATTTAGAGCTCAAGAGCTATCTGGATATCTTTCCACTGCGATGAGTACGACAGTCGTTTAATATTACAATTTACAATCGTGGTCCTAGTGGAAGAGGGAGTATTAAACTTTGTAGTGTTGACGAATGGTGAGCATTTTGTTTGAGTTTTTATTCAAACACACAAATAAATATGAACATGAACGACATGGCATATTCATCGATCAACATAATTAACACCTATAACAAATTTCACGACTCACATGTTAAAAAATGTGTAGAGTTCTAGATTGTTGAATGCAAAATATCACAGTAAAACAAAGTTCCAATAGTCAGTTATGCTTTTCTACATTTCAATATTCTAATGCAAAACAAAAATTAATTGGATTTGATGAAAAATATGCATAACACCATAATTGTATTTGTATAGGTACTACTATCAACTTATAAACGCATTCTGAAAATTTTAACAATAAAAAAAATGTTATAGATAAGTATTAAAATATTACACCTATTCATAATTAATTCGTATTCAAATGAACAAGCTATACACGAATTTATGTTGAATCCATTACCTAGTCATTGAGAATAAAGATCACTTCATTGTTGGTTTCACATTCAACCGAAGTTTTACAATCATTTTCATGATTCGTCTAAAAAGTAAATTACAACTTTTTAATATTTACAGCTTTCAGAATATTAAATCTACTGTTAAAAATTATGTACGTTATACTAAAACTAATGATTCACTTACAAAATTAATACTGAGATTATAAAGAAACTAATATTTTATTCAATTTCGTGAGATATAATTACTTTTAATTAGATACTTATTTTTCTTTGATATTTCTCCTTTTACACTATAAATATAAATAGATGTACCTAACATCAAAATGGAAATAAAATCAAACCCCTATTCTCATTGTGATTATAATTTTTTCATTTATAATGCCTTCTCATTACAGTTATGTTTACAAAAGTTAGGTAATTGTAAACACTCAAAAATAAAAAAAATAAAACCATGCTACTTAGTTGTTGCAAATCTGCCAAATTGTGTACTTGAGGGGAACCTTTCAAATATTAAAGAAAAAAACCGTTTGAACTGGAGCCAATTTTTTTGTATAAAAATTGAAACCAATTCAACATCATTATATTTCACAAAAAATAAATACCTAAATAAAAAACAAAACAAGAATGGACAAGGYTTCTAAAAATAAACATAAAACGAAGTCTTTTACCTTATTATGTCGTATCTATCAATTTCTGAACATAAGTGTATGGGTCTTCAAAGTTTATCACTTTCCTTTGATGTAACGAAGGCCAAAGACTTTTAAATCAAGTACCGACCAACACGTAAGCTAGAATAAAAGAGGGAAAATGAAGAGGTTTCTAGACATCACAAAAACAGGTGACTGTACAATAAAATATCGAAACTTTCAAAAAGCAACCACTTAAACTTTTTTAATAAATAACTCCACAAAAGACCTTTGACAACAAAGTTATTAATATTTTTCATTCCTTTATTTTTTAGATTTTACAATATATAATTAATAATAATAAAAACGTGTGGCTGTGGAAATACTCAAGAGGAAAAGTTTCTTTTGATGTGAAGTAGCCCCAGATCAAAGGCAAAACAAGGTTTGATAAATTTGGAGAGACAATTCTTTTTTTTTTCTCTCTTTGAAATCAAATCATGTGACCAATCACGTTTCACACACTGTTGCCTTTCAGTTTTCCAACTTTCTATGGGTGTCAACACAGTATCATAATTCATAAGTGCTATATTTTTCTGTATTCTGTATACTTAGTTCATAACACAATCTTTTAAAGACATAATTTTTAACAGGGATTCCAAAAAAAAAAAAACTATAGGTAAATGTTAAATCAATTTTAATTTAGCATACCTAAATGACTTGAATCTTTAATAACTTAAAAAATCTAAATTAATAATAGTAGGGTTACTGTGTTTACATAAAAAAATACAATTATGCCCTAATTTAAATGTTTTAATTCAATTTTAATCTTAGTTTATTGGCTTATAGTTAAAGTAGCAGCTTTGATCTCTAATATAAATTTTAAGTTAATATTCAAATTACAATATATTCTTTTTTCAGTTTCAAATCATTTCAAAGAATGTTTATTACAAATTAACGACTACTAATAGGTAACAATATATTTTGTAATCAACTAATTATAAAATTTTAAAAAAAAATGTCTAATTATCATTTTACTCAAATGATTAATTTAAAAWGTACAACCACAAATAAATTTTCTTAGAAAAACTCTATGAAAAACTTGAGTCAGACTTCTGAACTTAACACTTACAGAAATGATACACCGGAACAAATGAAAATTTAAAGAAAAGAGCAACAAACTTAAGCATACGTGGAAGTTTAGAGAACCTAGAGTGTAGCTCAGGTGAAGGCACTCAGTTGACGGAACATCTAATATAAGAAAATATTCAATGCAATATTACGGCCTACAATTATGTATACTGTTAAATATGAACTATTTTCATTTAAACTAGATGATATAAATGAAAGACAGCACAGGAAATGATAGTCGCATGAGCGATGGGCCCACACATTTTTTTATTTACACTATGCTATGAATCGAACCAATGACTGAGCACAAAATGCTCATCAGTGGAATAGCGTCACTCCGACCTCAAACACATAACTCAAGAATACAGAATAGGTAATAAAAAACAAAATTAAAGTGGTTTTAAAAATAATAAAATATTTTTTACATTTTAAGTGTTATTTAAAAGACATCGTAAATCACAATAAGAAGGTACCTATTTAATAAAACTATAAAATAATTATAACTAATGAAAAAATTTCAAAAAAAATTGCAGTATAAATTTTCATAGGTAGCTCCTAGATCAGAGCCAAAATCTACATTGTTCAAAAATAGGTTCGGAACATAACTAATTTTAAATTTCTTAGGTGCAACAGTTAAGTATACGAAAAAATGATGTAAAGTTTTTATAAATTGTTGTTGAGAAACCAACATTTAGATATATTAATTTATCACAAAGATACTAAGTATCATACATTACTTTTGGGAAATAGGTAGTTAGGTACTATAGCTCGAACTATAAGTATAAACCTAAATTCTATTTTGAAAATATTTTTGTACATAATTTGATCGATAGAGGTAAATCACTTTAGCTATTTTCTATCAATGTATAGAATTATTATATTTATAATTATTATACATATTTAAAGACTTCTCTTGCTTTAAAATTCAACTAACATTAAATTAAAACTTTGCAATACATTTTATATTTAGGATAAAATTAAGGTGAAACTTTTTACATTCATCCAATATATTTTGTTAACTATCTAGTAGATACCAAGACTTAGGTTAGGTCCTAGATACATACTTTTCAATTAGTTGTTTATTCTTATTTAGTTGAACTTTAACCTTTATAATTATTAAGTTTGTTTTGCAACAACACAACAGGTTATGTATAAAACTGCACATTACACAGTAAGTCATACTTGGGTATGTGCACTACTAACTTAAAAACAGAATCTAAACAAACTTATTGATGAAAAACAAAATTATTTTAAGTAGGAATACATATAAATTATATGAGTAAAAATTATGGAAATAACATTGACTTACACACCAACATAAATGCAAGGATTTTATATGAATAACTCATTAACCTATCCGAACCTATCTATAGGTACTTGTTAAAGTATCAAAAAAAATTTTATTTAGGTATTTTAGAATT